CGCTGCTCAGGGCTGCCTCTGCAGTGTGCAAAGTGTTTCCAGGAACAATCTTGACACACAATTATATAGATTTATGGTATATTCTCTTCCAAAACTGAGATGAATGTTAATACCACTTCGGTTTTGCTTTTCCTTATTATAATTTTTTTTTTAAACAACAGGCAAATGCTTTGATTGCTTTTGCTAGTGCCATGGTTTCCCCTAAAAGCCTTGATTTCAGTAAAGGAAGGGGGTTTGGCAGAGCTGACTTGCACAGCGTGGATGTCCCCGCACTGCAGCGAGCTGGCCATGCTGGCATTTCCCAGCTTTCACATCCGGTGCCCGCAGTCAGCTGTGCCCCATCCCTACTTCCCAAGGCAGCTCCCAGGCAAGGGATGCGGGAGTAGCCATGGATGCCCCGTCTGCTCCCGGAACCTTTCAGCACTATACCAAACCCCAAATTTAGGCCACTGGGGAAAAACAGGGTCAGAGCCACCATGACCCAAGGAGGGGATGGGGACAAGGAGCACGGACGCAAACCCCACCAGACCCAGCAGGAGAGGAATCAGCCATTGGCCTGGAAGGGACCACTCCTGGGAGTCTGTGCCATGATGCCAGCAAAAGCCACATCACAAAATCATGTTTACCAAACAAACAGTGCCTTAATAACGCCAATGCCTCCTGCCCTGACTCCTGCAGGAAGCCACAGTCCTGTGGCCGCGTTTCGGCAGGGCTCTCAGCACAGTGGGCAGCAGCAGGCACTGGTGCGGCCTTGTGGAGCCCCTGCGGGAGGGGAAAATATTTGCTAAATTTCTCATTTGCTGATTTTATTACCGGCTCTTACTCACAGCAACAGTAAATTAAACCCAGAGGCGCAGCAAAGCCCCCGCATCTTGGCAGCTTAAACACAGTCCTCGGGCAGCACATAAGGAAAATCACACGTCGGAGGAGGTCAGGGGAGCACGAGTAAATATGAGATTAATTTTGGAACAACACGCAGTGAGAATGACGTCTGCCAGGGAAGAAGCATCGCAGGGTCCCGTGGCAGCCCTGGGCCTTCCTGCCTCTGGAGG